AGTGGGAAAATGCTTTCCCTGTATGTGGATCAGGTCTGATTTAAACATTCTAAAGACAGAAAGAACAACAAACCCTCAAACAGATATACTGGTTTTACTATCACCACAGACCTCCAGGGAGACCTGGGCCATTCATTTGGAATATAAGTGAGTCTGAACAAACTGAAAACGAACGAGAAATAAATTCATATGAGGCCAAATCCTGGATGATAATTATAAACGACATCTATAGAGCCTGAGAGTTACAGTTGGTAACATTAACTTTAACTAACTGAACGTGTTTCTCTGCTACCAGAATCTCTGTCCAGGATGCATTTGGGTTGTTTGAGTTTGAACAAAGAGGATTTTCTCAGGTTGTTTCAGGTGGGCTTTCTGGACATTCTTCCATCAGACTGACCTTTCTGGATGATGATGATGGCGGTTGTGGCGTCAGCATCACTGTTTTTCTACAGCTTCCATCAGCCAAAATGGAAACAGAACACAGAGGGGGGAGGAGCTACAGCTGAATATGAAAGGCTTCATGTTGGAACTGAGGAGCTGCTGTGTTCTCTCTGCTGTTCACTCACAACAAGAGAAAATAATGCTTCTGCTTTTCATTTGGATGATGATGGTCTCCCTTCAGACAGGTAAGTCAACCAAGAAGGAAGCTGATATAAAAAATATTGAAAGACAAAAAACATTTAGCTGCTGTTTGACCTCACTTTCAATCAAATTACAATTAGATTCAAATGAAAGAATTCAAATCCCAACATAATGCTGTTTCCTGTCTTTGTTGTTTTCAGGATCCTCTGAGGATTTACTGACACCATTTAAATCTGTGCAGACGGGTTTGGAAGGAGAGACTCTGACTCTCTCCTGTAACTATTCAGTTGCTATATATAATCTCTTCTGGTACCGACAGAGTTCAGGTTCATCTCCACAGCTCCTCATCGCAGGACTTTCAGATCAAACTGGAGAAAAGTTTTCTTTGAAACACAAAAAAAAAGAAAAGGAGTTTGACCTGCAAATATCCTCTGCTGCAGTGACAGACTCTGCTGTGTACTACTGTGCTCTGCA